AGAACAGCTAAAGTTCAATTAGTTAGATAGAACAGTTAAAGGTCTAAAAGATAAAATTGACACCACTGTCTCAGAAGCAGTGAAGGGCATGAAGGCTGAATGCTCAAAAATGGCTATTGTAAAAAAACTTGGTTCTTGTTAAAGCTGCTACAAAGAAAAATATTCATCATTGGGTCTGGTCAACCAGCCAACTCGACTATTACTGCTAGTAAACCACTTATTCAGAAAAATGTGAGCAACGTTTGTAAATGTCGTGCATAGGATGTCATTAAACATCTAGATGCCCTAACATCAAAGTAAAATCATGCTTCTCTTCTCCTAACTTAACCATCTACCTCATTCTGTGTTTGCATTGATTCAAAGAAATCTGATTTGCTAACAGATGAAACAAAATACCTGGCCAGAAAATGTTCATATTAGTGAACGGACTTTGGGCCAGTCAACAAAGGACAAAAGGACAATCTAAAAAATAACCATGGATGATTCTCAAGATTATCCATCCTTTAGTAACAATACTCCTATTTTATCAATGACACTTTTATTTTCTGTTACCTGTTTTCTATATTGTTATTCTATATTATATTATATTATTCTACATTATATTCTATATATTCATATTCCACCATCATAATATTCACAAACTTTAAAACCTATTGCCATCAATTAGTGCAATAAGCCATTCAGACAATATAAATAAAGCCACTCAGCGAATCAGCCAAATGATTAATTTAAGCCAAGTGATCAATTTTATTACCAAGATAGTCAGCCACTCTATTTTGTGATATAGCCTTGATGTTCCAAATTATTTACATACAATTTTTGATAAAGTATGTATTTATGAATAATACATCATAATACTATAACAAATTGTTTTGATTATATTAAAAAATATTTTTCCACACGCTTATTTACTTATAAGGTTAGTTAGCTATTGTTGTGATGTTTTGCATTATTTCAAAATAAATTTATAATACATATTAAATATATGACATAATATAATGAAATATTTTGACTAAATTTCTGGTAATATTGCTATATTTATTCTTTATTCATTAAAATGTTTGTGAATCTCTGCAATATAATGTGTTCACATGGAGTGATAATACATTATTCATCTCTTGCATGCACGTCAGCCAATTAGTCTGACCCTTTACTTTTACTAAGTTGCTTGTCATTTAAGATTTATTTATTTTATAAAATAGAATGTTAAAATTAAAACATTATTAAAATTTAAATAACCTAACCATGCATGGTTTGGTAGGTGAATTTGGAGCATTCTGGAGTAGATTGACAAAATACCAACAACAATCAAACATGCAGACAACATTTTGCATTTGATTGCTGATAAAAAAGAAAAACCAGAGATAAAAGTGACGAAACGAATGGAACAAAGGATCTCGTAAGCCGCTTAACTCCTATATGTAGAATAAATACCTGAACTAAATACGTTAAGACGTTGTTAAGTACACACTGATTATAAACATTATATTAAGAAACTTAGCGTAGAAATCTTTAAAAGAAATTTAAAAGTAAGCCTTAGCATTAAAAGACAGCGAAACAAAATAGTAATTAGACAGTGGCAGTGGTGACAGCATTGATATATGTATATATGTAATATACCCATGGATATATATATATATTATATATATTCATGTACCCAGGGATATACATATTATATATATCCATGTGTGATCCATGGTTGGCAGTAAAGATTTATAAGAAAATAACTTGCTTTTGCTTAGGTTTTCGTTTCACGAAATCTCAGTTACATCCATGGTTGGCAGTAAAGATTTATAAAAAAATAACTTGCTTTTGCTTAGGTTTTCGTTTCACGAAACCTCAGTTACAATCTGGCGTGAAGTTTTGGACTCGAATTGTCCTATTTTAAACAACTTTAGTTAGAACTATCTATAGCGTAGATAAAGTACTGTTACGAAATCCATTCCAGCCTTATACCGCAAATGAACTTTTCGAGTGGTTATATTACTACAGGGACGTCATTTCAGGTTTGAAATAGGGACAAAACTTATATGGTCTATGATGGGGCATAATTGGTTATATATATTACTTACTATACAAATATTAAAAAATCGTTTTTCAGTATCAGAAATCAATATCAGAAATTTGTAAAGCGCCTCTCTTGAAAGACCTCAAAAGCGCTTTCTGGTGGGCACATTGCTGAAATAATGATGCTTCAACATTCTTTTGAATCGAGGCCTTTCAGTAATAGAACCATTCTTCTGTTGTACAGGAAGTGAGTTCCAAACCTCGGCCGCCACCACTGCAAATCTTTGCTTTCCAAAATTTGTCAATCTGAATACCGGATTGATCAAATCCCCATGGTCTGATGACCTCACATGACTGCGTCCTTGAACTCCCGACACCGGCTGCTCACTCAGATAAAGCGGACCCTCGCCATTTAGGCAATCTCTGACCATCAGTGCAATTTTGAATTTAATCCTCACCGGAAACCGTAGCCAATGTAAATCATCCTGCATGTATTTTGAGATGGAGTGAAATTTTGATACGCCGGCCACCATTCTTGCTGCAGCGTTTAACGCCGATTGAACGCAGTCCTGTAGGAACAAGTTAACTCCATACATTATTGAGTATGACTAAGTCGAAACTGTGGACAAGTGTTTTTGTCGATTCCATTGTGAAGAAACGTCTGATAGTTCTAATTCGATTAAGTTGATAAAAACATTTCCTGCATATATTTTTTACTAGGGCCTCCATCGACAAACAAGAGTCCAGCACAACTCCAAGATCATTTACTGGCATCTTAAATTTATCAAAACACAAATCCGAATAAGCATTTATTAAGATTTAAAAAAAAAACTAACCTTATCACTACAGCCATTGCTACAATTAGAAAAACTTTTCATGGTTTATTTGACAAATTAACCTTTATTCCATAATAAACACGACGACACTATTGTTATTCTATTATTTTAATATTTTATTCTTTCACATGTAAATTACAAAGTCATTAAACAATTATAATTTCATGGGGAAGGGCAGTTAACCCCCTCCCCTGCCCATCCCCAAATGACGCCTCTGGTTTATTTACATTTCTACGTAACAACTTCGTTAAACAATTTGTTAAAAAGAGTAAAAAATTTTTTATTTAACCAAAGTAGCGAAGGAAAGGACGCCAACCTTTAAAATGTTAATTCTCAAAAATTTAAGCTCCAGGCAAAAACCAAGGCTACGTCTAATTTAAAACATCATTCAATTTAGAATCAGCTCAATATATGTATCGTATCGTAATATATCCTAGTACCAATTAGTTGCTGCTCTGTGAACCAATTTATGTTTGACCTTGCGTCCAACAGCCAGCATGTTAATACTATTTTTGCTGGTACCCAGAAATTTTCCACGTTTTTCCTTACCCTGTACAAAAAACCATTATTACTATCGCTATTCATTTTTGGGCCTCCTCAGGGAGCTTCATAAACCATCACTTTTCATATTCCGGCATCCCCAAGCTTTCATCATATCTATCACAATCTTACTGTCAAGCTAACAGTAGGTGAATACCTGTTAGCTAGGTGGTAAGATTGTGACTCAGTCTCACTTGAACCAATTCACCATCTGTTGATTGACTTACGTTTCTACACATCAAATGCTATTTTCTTATCATCAAAACCGGTCTTTTTTCCAAGTTTCATAACTTTATTTTTATAATTTTCTTAATCTGTTGTGAGACAAAAAAATCATAACAATCGCCATCCATCCTCGCTTACGCATAACATCGTCCATACGCGCTACAATTTTCTCAATTTATATTATTTGTTGCTATACATAAAATATATTGAGAGAAGTTTTTGCTTTAGATTCAATTATTGACTAGGAGCTAGTAGGGAGCATTCAGTAGGAACAAAATCTAACGAGCGTATTCAAAGCATTACCGTAGTGACGTAGCTAACAATGAATCCTCACTCTGACCTTGCATACCCTTAATTCAAATGTTATTCATAATAAAATTTTAACACAGAGTTGAACAATGAAGTGTAAAAAATTACAGGGTTTTGAATGTTTAATATCATAAAATGTTAAAACGCATACGACGACAAAAAATGTGTTAGCTAAAAAGCTTGTTATAAAATACATGCTTCCACGCAACTTTACAGCTCATGGTGTTGACGCAAACAACTGAAATGAATATAGTGCAAATCAATATGACTATTTCTCGATATTTAAAAACTAAAAACAAATTACGGTTCATAACATCTGTGCAGTTCAAGACTTCAGGCAAACCTTACAATTGTAGATATCTAAAGGCCAGAACTTTGAGAAATCGTATTAAAAGCATAGTAAATTTTCAATATGATAATACACTGACAAAAATAAAAATCATTTGTGATGTGCAAGAAAATTAATAATGTTACTTTAAACTGTTAACATGAAAAATTAATTGGTCTAATGAGAGAAGGACATTCCGAGTTAGAACAATTGTCGTTAAAACGGTGGTAGTAAAAAAGTATTTGAAGTGAAGTGATAGATTAAAAATTAGTTCGTCTGAACGTGCCTGTACAATTGGGTGTTCGAAATTTAATATCAACCGTGACTAAGTGCAAAATCAAGAGTTGTAGTGAGCTAAAGAAAGAGAGTACATTCAAAGCACAGGTTTACATGCAACATAGAGAGGCATGGAGATGGACAGATGAATGGTGAATCATCGTAATGTAAACCACGTTCGTAAGCACGTATGTGACCAAAATGAACAATTTTCTTTAAGATAAACAATCATATGAGTTAATGACTTAATCATACGACAAACACGAATAGTTTGAATAATAAAATACTTTGGATTTTGACGAAAATTTATGAAAAACAAATATAAAATAAAAATTAGGATAAACAAAAAAATAACACGATAGGCAACGAAACAAATAAATATTTATAATTGAAATTATTTACATAGGTACTCGAACAACAATTAAACGTAAAGCATTACACTTTTAACTCACTATCAAGATGCAATAACAAACTAACACGATAACACAATCATATTTGCAACTGGAATATTATGTTTGAAGTTTTTCGGCCTAATAGGTTAGGCAAAAAGATGTAACCAGCCTAGCTAAATATCAACTAACGATCATAAACACGCATTAACTGACATCGCTTGGATAGATAAGCGCTAGAGTATATTACAGTATATTGTGGTGTATATTAATAGTGTCTTACAGTAAAATTAAAAATATTACAGTAAAAGTATACAAAACAACAAAAACTGAATGACATTTACAATTAATGATGTATGATATATTCTCAAACAATAAAAAAGAAATTTCAAATTAAAATATTTGCACATCAGTCATTTGTCAGATCATTAACTTCTTTGCTAATGCCAACCTATCATTCAATATTTCACAACGTGCAGACAGGCAAACAGGCAAGCTCACATACACAAACGAGTCGAGACATTCCAAATGACCTAGTACTTTGTTATGTGCGTGAGCACGCATATCTTTCACTTGCATAACAATGAAACGCCTAACAAAATCGTGCTAAGTAAAAAAATAGGAGGAAATAAGTTGTTTAAAACATTAACTTACACCGTTGCCAACCCTTTCAGTAGATTGGTTCACGGCGATAGCTTCATATGTATACAGTGAAAAGTAAAATAAAATTACTGTAATAAATTTATTTATTAGCCATATTATTGGAGTCCGTGTATTCACTGGATGGCAACGTGAAGAATTCCTCGAGCCTCCACTGCAGAGTTTCAAAGGTGGGCCTCTCCATCTCGTCCTTCTTCCAGCAGTCCAGCATGATGTCGTAGAGGGCCTGTGGGGTGTTGGGAGGGCAGGGCATTCGGTAGCCGTGCTCCACCTGGTGAAGGACTTCCGCGTTCGTCATGCCTGAGCAAGTTCATCATCAATATTGTGAAAATAAAATTCAGTAATAATAATAATAACCATAATAATATTAATAATAATGTTATTTATGCAGTGCTCTATGCGATGGAAATTCGTTTGTTATTCACGTTTGTACCCCTCACGTCATCCTGCTGATGCTCCCTCAATGTCAAACATTTGTTGGACGGTAAAGCCAAGTGCAAACAGCAACGTAACCGACGAATTTTGACTGTCGGTGGCAGCAAATATCTTGAATAATAAAATGATTTAAAAACATACCTAAATAGTTAAATTCATCATTAACTTGGAAGTACCACTTTAAGGTTTTTCAGATGAAAATTTTAAATGGGGAAACCTCAATAGAAAACCCTGGAGCATGTTAACGTGAAAATCAAAAGAAATGCTTTTTTGGCCTTTCAAAATCTGATCAACTCTTGTTAAATTTTGTTGCCTCATATCCCTCATTTTATTCATTCAATAACTTTTCCATGTCAGTCACACACTATGTCGTTCACAGAAGTCAGCAGAGGTCATACACGTCACGTAAGTCATCCATAAAGGTCATCTACGTAAGTCAGCCATAGAGGTTACCACAAAAAACCGCAAAAGGGTCATCCATATTAGTTATCCATATACGTTAATACAGAGAGGTCATCTACACAGATCGCCACAAATATAACCTTCAGAGGTCACCACAGAAGCGTCATTCAGATAAGTCATTCACGAGAGAGGTCTCTTACCTCTCTTACGTCATCTATAGAGATGACGTAAGAGAGGTCATCCATATAAGTCACCAAAGTTACCTATATAAGCCATCCTAGAGGTCAACCCAAAAAGTTATCTACATAAGCCATCCACATGTTACCATAGAAAGGTTATCCACATAAATCATCCATAGATATTACCAAAGAGAGGTCATCCACATAAGTCATCCGTCCACAGAGGTCACCACAGAAAAGTCATTCACATAAGACCCCAGAGAAGTCATTCACATGATTCATAGTTCATCTATAAAAATTTTTAAAAACCATTCTTTATTTCGCTTTATACTTTTAATTGTCAAAACAAATTGAAATTCTATAATAAGCTGGTGTGATATTTTATAATTTTGTATATTTTCTGTCTATGAAGTATGTATCTGAAATTCTCAAGACCCTCTTCATTCAATTTTCAATGTTTCTTACCCCATCACCATACGCAATTTGAAACCTTTCAAAACTTCTCAACTTCCTTTCCCCAATTATTTGAAGTGCCTGAGTTATCCCTGCATTATACATTCGAAACGGGAAATGATTGCAGTTTAGCGTGCCTAGCATAACTCCAACGAACAATAACTGAAAGGTACATTTAAAAATTTTTATTTTTAAATTTTTAATTTTTAACAATTAAAATTATAACGAGCACAATGCGGCTGTTTAACATAACTTAATCATGTTATTCTTGATGAAATAAAAGAAAACCTGGATAGGGAAGCCTTCCAAAGGTCACAATTTCAGTTAAGAGAATTCCAAAAGACCAGACATCGGACTTGATGGTGAACCTGTTGTAGTTGGCGGCTTCCGGAGCAGTCCACTTAATGGGAAATCTCGCACCAACCCTTGCCTCATATTCGTCGTCTTTGATTACTCGAGCCAGTCCAAAGTCAGCAATTTTAACGCTGTTGACCTCGCCGACGAGAATGTTGCGAGCAGCTAGATCTCTGTGAATATAGTTCTGTGACTCCAGGTAAGCCATGCCACATGCAATCTGAGCAGCTATATCAATCCTTTGTGGAAGGGAAAGACCGCGTCCTTTACCTGTTTCATAATTCAGAAAAATCTATTCAGATGACATTTTACAGTTTTATATCAAGGAATATGCATAATATAACTCTTATATATAACGGGAATATGCATGCAGTGTATGGTGAAGATGCCGGAGGCAACTTGGTTTTAAAATGGAGACGAGATAAACAAAGTATACTACATGAACAAATAGGTGAATGGATGCTTTGTTTTATCAAATTAGTGACAACATTTTACTTAGAATCAATAGTTAAGTTTCATTCATTAAACTTTTAACCTGATCAGCGTCCTAAAAGTATAATGCATGGTCCAGTAGAGTTTATTATGATATTATGTGATTAAATATAACACTTATATAATGAAACTTACCTTGAAGATATTCCAGTAAACTTCCATACTTCATGAGTTCAGTGACGATATAAATTGGTTCATCTTGGGTGCACACAGCGTACAGTTGGATGAGTTTTGGGTGCCTCAGCTTCTTCATTATCTGAGCTTCAGCCAAGAAATCTTTTGGGTCCATGGTACCTGGTCGCATTAAAGATGAGGATGATTAATGATGATGGCGACACTGATGATGAATGATGATGATGACACTGATGATGATTGAAGATGGTGACACTGGTGATGATTGATGATGATTGATGATGGTGACATGGCCAAAACATAACATAAAGTATTGCAAGCCAGGTAATGTAATGAAAATGATAAGAGCTTAGTTCAGCAACCCATTTTATTCTTTGAATCTGAATTTAACAGTTAACAGAGCAAAAATTGAAAAATAGATCAAGAAACAGGACAAAATAATGCAAGAGACAAAAGACAGCTAATAATAGTAACGCAAGTGTTACACAAAATAGAAAACAAACATGCAAAAACAGACAACAAATGACTGTTTCTTTAAAAATGATACCAATGTTCATTGTTCTCTTAACATTTAACTTTTGCAGTAAACGTAAACATGCATTATTTCAGTAATGAAAAACATTTTTCTAAATTATTCGTTACCATGTATCACATTTTATGTGCGAAGTTGCATCTTGGTTTTCTAACTGAATATGCTAAACTGATGAAACATGAAATCGAGGTTTGACAAAAGGCATTTAAAAAAATAATCCACAACATTCCACTTTGTCCAAACGTTCGTTCGTAATTACAAATATAAATTGATATCAGTAATTAGTAATGGGCCATTACATATATATTAAATTACAATTATATCACAATGAATATATTACACACACACACGCAAGCAAGCACGCACGCACATAGTTGGGTCATAAACATTTCTTTATCTAGTAGAGTTTTTCACATTTATTCATTTCATAAATAAATTAATGGGCATAGTGATTTTATTTTGATTTCAAATAATTGCATTGTATTGTATTGTATTCATCACATTGAAATGAAAAGGTTCTGGAGTGATTCAATACATATATTTATTATAAATGTTGAATTGATTCTGATTTTCAGCATCATTAAAGATGTATCAACAATTCAGCCATTCTGCCAATATGATTAAGCAGTGCAATTTTACTTCTTACCCCAAGAGACACTTCGGTGGAAAGGACTTTCGCAATTTACAACTTGTATAATTTAATTGAAGTTAAATGTATTAGGAAAGGTGAATGCGATTTTTCAACAGTAAAATGTGGGAGACTTGCAATGCAAACATACAAACCAGGCTTGAGGGTCTTGATAGCAACAGGAGTTGTGTTGTT